AGGTTCAATTCTCAGTTACTTATTTTCTACTCAGTAAAATGAGAGTCATGGACTCTCCAGTCCATGGGTTCTTTATTGCTGTTCTGATGGGGAAGAAAAGAGATGAGATAATTGTATGAGTAGGCTCAGACACTTATCTTTGTGTATTCTTTATCTCAGCCTCTTTAGAGATTGAGACCATTATCTGCTGCTTGAGATCTTGCTTTAAAATGTACTCAGCCACTGAGAGTAATGCACATCATTTTTGTACAAACTGATGTTACAGTGGAATTAATACAAGCAGTATAAAGATGATGCTTCTTTGCATAATGGCATACATAGGAGAAGATGGCAGCTGAAGCCTTAATATTTATGCTTGAAGAATCTAGCTGAGGATTTAGATTTGCTGGATAATGAACTTCTCTGTCCCTTACAATTCAGGAATAGACTTTGTATTTTTGACTCCTGGCCTTTCAGATGCTCTGACCTGCTTTCTGCCTCTCCACTGCCTGGCTGATTTGAGAGCTTTTGGCTGCTGGCAAGGGAAGTGGGGAGGATCCAGCTGTCCCTGCTGGAGCCATGGGTGGGCAAGTGGCTGATGGAGGGGAGGCTGTTCCTGCTGGCCTCAGAAGTAGGTCAGGAGCATCAGCTTATTTTGACAGCATCATGAGGCTGTGCATCCTTTTACATGTGTTGCCTTTTTGTCTGTGTATATAGTTCTTGTATCACACATTGCTGCATTTTAACGATTTTGAGATTTTTATTTGTGAACATACTCATTTCCTTGAGGGATTATTAAACTGTGACAGATGCAATTAAAGCAGAAACAACAACTCTTTTTTTTTTTTTTTTTTGGCTAGTTAAATTTATATACTTGTTTTTTGCCTATCAGGCTGCAGTGAGTTTGTCAGTGTTGCGAAATACACATTTAGTGGAGATTATGAAAACTTCAAACCTTTATGACTACTGCTGTAGTTCACAACAGAACAAATGGGTGGTTGCTTCCCAGTGGAGCATATTTTAGGCCAAGAGACAGTCTGTATTGACCTTGTACTGCCAAGTCATAAATGCATAAAATCTGTGTTGCTCATGGAAACACTGACAAGCCTTGAATTGCAATGGACTGGCAGAATAAAAATATTAAAATTTCCAGCTGCAGTTAATGTCATATTTTCATTCTGGTTTTGCTGGCTGGCAGCAGCCTGGAGCTTTTGTTGGTTCTTGTCACAGCACAGACTCTCTGGTAATTTGGGTATGTGAGGCTGACTTAAAGCATACCAAAGACAAGAAGGAAGACTACCTTGTGAAACCCATGGACAGGAGTTTTGGGAATGTTCAGGTTGGGTATAGTGTTACCTCAGAGGTGAGACCTTCTGGGCAGTATTATTTTCCAACCACTGAAGTGCAAGCAAGCTGTTTGGATGTAAGAATTACAAACTCTTATTAATGTTATTAATGGAGCATGGACTCATGCTTGCATCAGTAACTGCCACTTTTGAGATATCTAATCTGCCTTTCTATAAAAATTACTTCATTTGTGAAAGGAGTCATAAGGATGATGCCCAGGATGAAGATGCTGGCAGGGATGATGGGTGTGCATGCCAGAGGATCCTGATGTGTGTGAAAATGAATCTTGGAGCACTTCCCTGCTGTTAGAAGACTGATGTGAACTACAGGGTTGTGGTGTAGTGGGCCACATGCAGGTGTGGAGACCAGGGATTCCTGAATTTGTTTCAGTTTGGTTTAATTTTAATGTGGTTTATAATACCCCAAGGAAGGATAATTAATGTTGTAGGTCTTCTTTAACAATGAGAGCACAAACAAACCAGTTCTTGCTTTACAAGAATGTAACAAAGGGTAGAGGGTTAAATATGAAAAAAGCAGTTGCTACCCCGTTTAGGCATTGCTTACTGACCCCTTCTGTAGTTCTGTGTCAAAGCTAGATTTATGCCTGGCTGCTGTGACAGAACTCTCTCATGTGGTTGTTTTTTCTCTCCTTGTTGCAAAGCAGCTCCGTGTGATGCTCCAGTGCTGCTTTCTAACACACAAAGTAAAATGTCACTGTTGACTCTGGCTCAAACCTGGCTGGCACCTGTCCTGTGCCCATGTCTGCTCATTGTAAATGAGATGGATTTGCAGTCTCTCTGCTCCTGTTTGTATCACAGCACCTTGAACTTCTCCTTGCATCCTCTTTGCTTTTGTGTGTCTTGGATTAGGATGATTTCTCTTAACTATATATTGAAGTGTTCACAGCTTTCCTATCCTGACTGTGGTAGAAAGGTACAGAGTACCTTACTGGTACTGCCAGACTCTCCCACTGTCTGCCTGTTCTTTTTGATGTTTGCTGAGGAAATTCTTCATCAGGAAATCTTCAGCCTTTGAAGTGGGCAGCAAGATTTTCTGCATTTAATGACTACACACAGAATTATTTTAGATTCTATTTTTAATGTAATTCCCCTGTACTTCCTGCTAAAATTTGTCGTTGTCTTGTGTTAGACCCACAGCATTTTCTACTTGTCACTACTTCAGGTGGAGACTCAAGCCTGGCAACAAAGTTGCTCAAGCATTCATCTTTTTTGTTTTGGGTCTTTGGTCTTTTGTAGTGGGCGCTGCTTTTATCTGAAATAATTTCCTATTATTTATAATCTATCCATTATTTACTGCCTTTAATGCTGGACTTAAAAGCATATTGTCTGTTTAATTAAAATTGCTGGTTAAGGGGGTGCTGATCTCACACCATTTTCTAGCATTTGGAAGTGGTGTGTATGATGGTTTTTGTTCTTTTTTGTTCTAATAAATTAATAAAAAAAAAAATTAAAAAGTAATGTTTTTGACCAAATCGCCTGTGTGGGGCTTCCCCACTTCCTTTTTGCATCTTTGTGCTTTTTACAAAGCAATTGAAGCAGCTGCTTCTGAAGTCTTGTGCAAAGTGCTGACCTGGGGAAGGAGCCTGTAGCTGACTCCTCCCTGCAAAGTGTTACATTTGAGAAACCTGGGAAGTACTAGTTCCTGGAGCAGCTTGGAGATTTTAGAGCCTGTATAAATTGCATAGCAAAAAAATTTTAATTTTAAAAATCCAGGGGCAGGCAGAAGCACTCTAGGCAGATTTTCAAGTACAAGTATGTTTTTAAGATGAGCAGAATGGCCTTGTCAGCAACGCAGCTAGAAGGGCATTTTGGAGGTGACAAACTTTTCAGCTGTAGCCAAATTTAATTGCTTATGGTTTCATCAGACTTGGAACAGGTCAAAAAACAGCTGTAGGCCTGAGAATGACAAAATCTTTCAAATGTGAAATGTCTGCTCGAATGAGAGGTAGACAGGATGCTGTTCTGTTCAAGAGGGGTTTAGTTTTTTGTTTGTTTTGAGAGTTTTTTTGAACTTGGAAGATGGGATAGATCTCAGCAGAACTAAGATCTCCAGGGCAGAAGTCACTGTGAAGGAAGGAGAGTAACAGCAGGGACTACTCAACTGTTTTCTAAAAAGCCTTCTTTATGTAACACAGATGAGTGGGAGGAAAAATCCTGCTGTCTGTAGTCTCGCTCTGTTCTTAGGAACAGAACTCTGTTCTTAGAAATAGGAAGATGCTTTGGTCTGTTTAACTTGAGGTTCATGGTATGTTTGAAGGCATCAGTGAGTGCTCAGACCTGCTGCGTTTTCCAGCTGGACAGCTGCAAGTAAGAAAGCTGTGCTTTAATGGTCCAAAAAGCACCAGACAGCCAGGTCCTGGGGAATATGTTTCTTATACTGTTGGCATTTTATCAATGTATGGATCTTGTCTTGAAGCTCATATTCAAGATCTCAGATGACATGAGTTAAGTATATATATATATATATATATATATATATATGCCTTGCCAATTCTGTCTTCAAGTATTAAATATTTTATTGCAGCTATAGCTACAATGTTAACCAGTGGCTACTGATGGTGGATACAAGAATTGTTCCGAAGTGGATCACAAAAAGCTGCAAGTGCTTACAGGTGTTTGCATCCCAAAGGATGCTGTGGAGGCAGGCAGGACTGTGGGTGCAGAAAGGGTTCAGACAGCTGCAGCTGCAGGCACGGGAGGGAGAGGAGGTGATCCATCTCCCTGATGGAACCCTTACTGGTGCTCTGGGAATGTGGGACCATCTGAGCTGCAGGAGCTCTAAAGAGCATCTGAGATTTTGACTGCTGGAGCTGTGATCTGCAATAGATGGGCCATTGATCCAATTTAATGGGTTTGTTCTTGTGCAAAGTGATGATTTCCTTCTTTCAGAATATCTGTTCTCCAGTGGAATCTCATTTAATGAGCTGATGCCATAGAGTAACTGTTGCTGCTTGGCCTTTTTGTTCAGAACTGGTGCTTTCTCGTTTATAGGCTTCTCAGTCTTGTTTGGCACAATCAATTTCAGTGCTGACATTCTAATTTAGAAAGATTAGGAGAGTGGAAGACATTAACCAGAAAAATGGTATCTGTTATTTTCCTGTTAGATCTTTCCCCTCACTTGCTCCCACTCTGTTTCTTGGAGCTCCCTTTCTTTTCTGCTCGCATCTTTCAGCAGTGCAATTGCATCTCTTGTCTGTAAACACCTTTGAGCTTTCTGAGGCAGAGATGATCACCTAATACAGTTTTATATATGAAGATATTTTAGTACCCTACCCTATGGTCTGTCATTGAAGTAATATTTATATTTTTAAAGATATTTCCAAATACAAGCTGTTATATAGAAGTTGTAATATGAGACTTCTGGGCTCAAAGCTCCTTCTCTGAGATTTAGAGGTGGCTAAAACGCTGCCCCTGTTTCTGATTTTTCTCAGCACATTACCTGTTTATTACCACAACTGTGTGGAAAGGTCAAGTTTATTACAGCCTTGGATATGTTTAACTGTAGGATGAAGGCCATGATTTATGATACAGTATGTCATTATACCCCAAATGGTAAGTACCTGAAATGTGTTAGTCTGTGGTGCACCTGTTTAAAACCACTGACCTCCTGGGTGATTTAAGTGGCCTCTGAGTCTTTTAAATCTCTTGTTTCAGGAAGTTAAGAAGGATGTAGAGCCCAAGGATGATGCTGTGCCACTCAGGAGGGAGAAATCTGGCAACGTAGCCAGCCTTGTGCAGCGTATGAGCAGCTATGGGCTTCCAGCAGGAGGATTTCAGCCTCATCCCCCGTCCAAAGGCTTCAAGAAGAGTATGTGGTCTTTCCAGTTCCTTCAATCACACATGCTGCTGACGTGCATTTTTAAAATAAACATGAATTATTTAATGCATGACTTAGTTTTAAGATTATGTGGAAAACTAGAAACATAAGAGGAAACACTGGTTCAACGACAAATTTTTCTCCTCTATGGATGGGCAGAAAGCTTAAATGCAGCTTTTAACATCAGTAATAGGGGTGAATTTCCCTGTGAATGGGATTTAGACTCCTTCCAGATGTCAGGGAGTTCTGTAACTTCATGTGAGCTCTGTTTGTATTGTCAGGTACCTGAATGGAGAGCTCCAGGCCTGTTCATGATAATCAAAAATTTTCACAAAAATGTGGTCATTTTAAAAGAAAAGTTGAAACATGAAAGCATCAAGTTTTGCTACAAATTCAAGGCTTTGACAAGGAAATGCTGTGTTAGTCAGATTCTTCATGATAGGCTTGCTTCTGAAATAAGGTGAAGTTGGTGGTATTAACAAAAAGCAGTAATTTTCCTTTTGTTGTAACAGCAACGCTCAGGATGGCAGGAGTGTAGGACTGGTGCTTCTGTATCTGTGATTTCTTTGTTATAATGCCGGTTTTTATATGAAGGTGACTAAAGCCTGGAGCAGAAAGCTTCCCATTCCCTGCATCCAGCAAATGGGCTTGTGATTTGTATTTGGACATACCAATCTCTTGTAAGATATTGCTTTAAATTACTCTGCCTTCCTCTGTCTTACAAGGTTTTGAAGGCATTTATGATTTAAGCTTGTTTTTTAAACAAAGACTTCAGAACTTACTGGTTCTGGCATGTTTGTGCTTTGAGGTATTGCCCATAAAAGAAGAGCCACTGGTTGTCTTTTAAAACCCTGAAAAAGGACCACCACCTTTACAAATTTGTTGAGTCTTTGTTCCAGGAAACCAAAGATTTAAAATCACTTTTTAGTGACTCTGATCTGTGTATGCATGTTGGCAACAGTGCAGGTGCCTGTTGGATGTTTACACAGCAGGCTTTGGAAAAATCCAACCTGAAGGATTAATGCGGTTCCTAGATAAATACAGCCAGGCTCTGAAAGGGAATCAATGTGATCCTTATGGGTCCTCCCACCTGGAGATACTGTAGGGTTCTGTGAACATGATCTGATACCAGTTCAGCTGTCAGCTATTGTTCTGGTCACCCTAACCCTGGAATGTTCCCATATTTTCCATGTCACATCCTCATGCTGGTGGCTGTGGCCAGGGTAGAAGGTACAGCTTGGTCTCAAACTCTGCAGGGCTCTGGCTACTCTCATCCTTCTGGAGAAAATGGTGTTCAAGCAGTTCCCTTTAGGCACACAGCTGTTTACCTGGTGCAGTGGCAGTCTCTGCATTTCCATTTCACTCGCTGTTCCCTTTTTCCTGGAACACTGTTTCAACAGCTCCTGCAGATCCTATTTACTCTGTGCCTGGGCAATCACTTGCTTTCCAGAGCTTACTTGTCTTTGTGTTTCTGTTTTTTCACTTGATGAAATGAGGTTTACAATGTTAAAAACAGATTAAAGTTTCTTTCATGCAGCTCTCCTTGAATTCAGGTATTTTTGTGTCAGGTGGGTGGTAAGCTGCAGGCAGAATTCCTATCAGTTAGTTGTCTGCTTTTGTTCAGCAGAAGGAAAATACAGAAGGTGTGCTAAGTGACAACAAAGAGCTAAATTTGGTTTACCCTGTACAAAACAAACAAAACCTCAAGGCCTGACAAGTTGTTTTGGAAAGGGACAGAATTGCCTGCAGGCTGCCAGCCCAGTGAAGCTGAATGCTGTTCTGAGAGGACTGGTTCCCTTCCTAGGTTATTCTAGGGATTTTCGAAAGTGGGAGGCAGTACTTCCTAAACTGTGTTACTGGAAACAGATCTCAGAGGAGAGGGAGGTTTCTGGATGTGAAATGCATCCATGGGTTTCCCCCCCACTCCCACTTAGATATAATTACACTATGAAAAGGAACACTGAGATCAGATTTATACCAAGTGGCAGTGACTTTTTAATATGCCTTTTTTTTGGTATCAGTTAATCTCCTACAAAGCAGAAGCCTTGAAAGCACTGCAGGAGGCAGTAAAGGCCATTGAACCATTTATTGCAATTACTCGTAACTGAACAATCCCTCTGGGCTCATGCATGAGTTCCAGTGGAGGTAAAAGCAGGGTGTATTATGTGGGCAATTATGTGTTATTAGAAATAATTCATAAAGCTTATTATTTCTGGTTTTTGTTTCTTGCATAGATCAAATGCCAGCATGTAGAAAATTCTTGCTTTGGTGAGCCCTCTCTCAGAAATTGTAGATGCTAGATGCTGAATATTACTCTGATGCCTGGGATGCTGGGTGTGGTTTTCTAAATGCATTGCTCTGGACTTTGAGCAGTGCTGTAAAAAGACAAGGATCAATCTTGAGGCAGTGTCTGTGTCTTGAAATGTTTTTACAAACCTAATCTTAATTGCTGAAGCTTGAGTGTGGAAGGAGTACAAAGAGAGAGGCCATGGAAATCACACAGCTCCTGTAAGCTTAGGCTTTACCACCTCAAGCTTTTGACTGATATTTTAGTGTAAACTGTGGCCGATTGTTTTTGAGGAGCATAGGGAGCATGCACTGGTCATAGCTCACGATGATAATTGTCTTCAAAAGCATGCTGGCTGCTTTGTTGTGGAAAAGGTCTAAAGACATGGCCTCGTGTTTGAAAGAGGAGTGCATAAACTGTCTGGGTTCAGCAGCACTCCAGGATATTTGCAGAGTAATTAGGCAGTGTGGGTTCACACCACTGTGGCTGCAGGGCTTGGCTTGTCAGAAGCCACTTCAATGCTCTCCCCTCTCAGGATGTTATTTTGCCTTTTTAATGCCTGCAGAGCTTTAATGATATGGGGCAAACAGCTAAAGACTGCACTTGATTTCAATCTTGCCTTTGTCAAAGACTGCTAATTGACAGTTTGAATTACCAGATGTCATACTGGCACTGAGAAAAGGAAGGGATTTTTTTTAATTCACAGATAAAGATGAATTCAAGTTTTGAAATACGAGCCCAGCAAATGTGGGCATTACCTCAGAGTTGGGGTTAGCAAGGTCCTTGTTAGAGTCCAGAAGGTCTGTAAGCTCTCCAGTGTGGTGCACAACAAAAGGTGTTCCTGCTTTCAGGATTACTTAAGGACTGGAGGCTCAAACTTGCGCATTTTCTTCCAAGTAGGTGCTAACTGCATTCCTGCAGATTTTGGTTAGGAAATAGCTTGAGAAATCACTGTAGTGGGGATTTACCTGACTTGCTTGTGTCAACATGCTTTTTATAGCAGATTGATAATTTATATAGTGTTCATGTGTGAAAACTATGGCTCCCTAGCCTAAGGTGACCCAAGCAAACCACAAAACCAGCATCAAAAGCTACATAGCTTTTTTCTGGGTCTTCAGGAGCAGAGTATAGGAAAGACAAATTCTCCTTTATGGAAGTTCTTATTTTTGGTGTTTTCCCTTGAATCAGAGTCCAAGAAGCGGCAGTGCAAAGTGCTCTTCGAGTACATCCCACAGAACGAGGATGAGCTGGAGCTCAAGCTGGGGGACGTGATTGACATCATTGATGAGGTAAGCTGTTCTACAGAGCTGGCCATTCATGTGCTGAGAGTCAAACCACTGTTTTGGCTGATCACTTGTATTACAAGCATGTTGGGAAAATAGCATGGGAAGTAGTGTTTTTGCTGCTAAAGTTAATAATTTAGGAGTTTTTTCTCTCAGGATCTAATACTAAAACAATGAATGCTAGATGTTTAGATGAAATATTTGATCATCACAGTAATAAATTGTGATCTGTTGCAAAGATTCATTTTTTGAAAGGGTTTTGCAGTTCTTTGGCCCTGTCTGTGTGATCCTTGGCTTTAGGATGCTTGTGGTAAAACTGTTGGACTGCTTTCTTTAGGCTGACATACTCCAAACTGGTATAGGTAGAAAATGTTATTTGGATTGATTTGCCAGTTTCAAGCTCTCTTGTAAACTCATTGAGTTGGAGTGGTGGTTTTTTATCTTTTCTTACTTGTGTGCTTCCTTGGTATCTGTTCCATTCAGTAGCAGTGGTGAGAAGCTTGTGTGTGTCACAGGAGTGTCTCTCCCAAATGTGAAATCTGTCAGGGAAGCTGTGGAAAAGATCAGAGTGATTGTGGAAGGAACCTTTTTAGAACTGGATGGAAAACTTCTGCACAGCAGACTCTGACCTTCACTGGTGCCATCTCTTCCTCCCTGAGGCTCTGAGGAAGGAGAGTGAAACTTTCTTTCTAGCCATCTGTTATTGGTGGTGCTTTTTAAGTAGCTTTATGAGGCTGTGCTTTCATGTGCACGACCCTCTTTGGAAGAGAGTGCTAACCTCACAGTTGCCAGGAAGAACTCTTCCATTTTCCTAGCAAGAAAAAAAACGATGCCCTTCCATGCACTAATACTTCCAGAATTTAATACGTGGGAGTAAACAGAGCAAGTGACTTGCAAAACCTGCTTGCTAAACTCAGTTTCATAAATACCTTTGTGTGTGGGTGTTTTTAGAGGAGTGTTCCTGGGTAACCTCAGCAATTAGTTTAATTTGTGGATGGTGCCTGCACTGGCAGTTGTGACTGGATGGTCCAGTGTAAGCATTCATGAGAGAGCACGTGCAGTGAACTCTTGTGAAAACTGCTGGTTTGGTTGCACGTGTCAGCATCTGGAATTCTTTTCAGAGGGGTGTGTACTGTCGTGTACCAGAGATGACCAAGTAGCCTAACAGAATAAAAGATCAGAGCATTTCCTCATCTGGTTTCTTCAGGAAGTGTGGATTATATTTTATTATTTAGATTTTTTTTTTTATTAGTTGTCGTGCTTATTCCTTTTTTAATGATTTGAAAGTACGTTTTTGTAGTACCCAGTCTTTGCTACTTCTTTGAAAAACTGTTAACAAATGTTTAGGGAAATGCTACCTGGTAAAAAAATATTGCAGCTTACTATGGACACAGAGCTGTTTGCATACTGTTTTCATGGTGATGTAGAAAAGACCTGACAGGTGTAGGTACGTCTGTTTGCTTCATGAAACTGTACTGATGGGACCAGAATTGTAAAGAATGGTAGAAAATACTGTCCATTGGTTGTGCAATATGCTGGGATAACTTGTCTTAGGTAGCTTGTCCTCACTACTGTGAGGTAGCTCTGTTTGTATATGAGATGTACTCTGTTTCTGTATATGCAGATGTACAGATGTAACTGTAACTTCAAGGAAAGATTGTTTGGTCACCTCTTTCTGTGAGGAAAATAAGGTAAAATCAGCTCTGTGAGGGGATCAGCTCTATCAGCTACTTGAGAATAATTCAATATTTAGCCCTTGACTGGTTTTTATAAATTGAGTAGATGTAAATGACGCCACTGATCATGAAATCAAAGGTGGAGGCAAATGGGTTCAGAAATGAATTGGTTGATATTGAAGAGAGCAAAAGTAACTTTTTGGGAAGAAAATTGTGCTATGTGCTGGCTGAATCCACAGGGCTTTTTGTTTACAGAACGTGGGTTTTACCCATGAAGAACATGCACAGAATGCACGTGATGAGACTGTCATTGCTCTAAAACCATTGTTTCTCCTTTATATCTTCCCCTCTCTCCTGTCAGGAGCAGCACTAAATAGCAGACTTATTTTTGTAGTATTATATTTTTAGTATTTGCATACTGTTTTTTTCAAGCGAAATAAAATTTCGTATAACATCATTAGGGAAGTTTTCAGTAAAATAAAAAAAAAGCCCAACAGACCAGATTGCTAAAGCTTCCTATTTCACCCTTCTTCCCTATTTTTTCTTTAGAAGTCTGAGTTTTTTGTAGAAATAAATTGGTGGGATTCGCAAAAGAAAGTTTTGGTGTGTGTACCAGAGCTGTACCTCCCTCTTGTGGAAATTGGATCATATGATAATATTTTGGAATGGAAGAGAAGAGTTATGAAATTGTCATCTGTGTTGCTGCTGCTTACAGATGTGCAGATGTTCTCCACCAAAGCATGGAGAACTTCTTTAGCCTGTGTCTTAATGTTCATGAAAGAAGCCTTTGCTGGTTTCTTTCAGTTTTTCACAAATACAGTTTGTGTATGGTCAGGGTTTTATATAAAGGCAGTATGGTGAGGAGGCTGAAGTGAGTGTGCCCAAGAAATTTTGGATTTGTTCCCGAGTGCCTCTGAGTTGGCATTGCTTTGCTTTGCTGTAAAGTGCTTTGCTGACCACATCTCTTGGCAGAAGAAGAAATGGATGCTCAAGTCGTTTTCTGTATTGTAACCATTAAAAGTCCCTTTCTAATGGCTCCTGAGTGAGTGATGTGGGTGAGTGAAGGCATTTGTATTTTAGTTTTCTGTTATGTTACAGAAAGCCTGAGGTACCAGAGCCTGGGCAGCACTTGCTAGTAATCTGTGCTTAACATTTGTTTCAGAAGAGTCTCTGAGTTTCAACCATCCACAACAAAGCTGTATTTTCACACCAGGATGCTTTTAAAAACAATAGTCCTCTTTTCACTGCCTGTCTCTGCAGCTGCCAGCTTCTGCTTGGGCTCTGCTTGCCTGGAGGTGGGCTGGCATTTAAAAACTGTGCCTGTGTGTCAGGCGTAGTGACCTACAAAGCCAGGCTAAAAAAAGATAATGCAAACAGCTGCTGCTTGGTTTGCCTTTTCCTTTTCCTCTTGCTTTCCTTTCTTAAAAACAGCTTTCCAGCCTCAAAACAGGGCAACCTAAATAAAAGATTCTGAAAATTTATCTGAATTGTAATTTTTAACTAGTGCTCATTAGGTAAATAGACTGAATTTATTTAAGATACTTTGAAAACTGTTCATAAATTCAAAGAGCACAGTTTTTAGTCCTTTGGCATCATTTTACCTCATCACCTCTTCCTGCCCAGCTTTTGCTTGTTCTGTTTTAGACCATATGGGATATTCCTGATAAATTTTCCAATATATTTTTAGCCTTAGGACTGCTGTGTGCCACCACAAAATCCTCATGGACTCGGTGATATTGGTCAGCTCTGGTGGGCAGGTCCCTGCCCCTGTGGGGCACGTGGGGCCAGGCTGTGCTGTTCATCCTCCTGCTAGGAGGGGACAACTTAGTTTTCCATTACTCTGATGTCTTTAAGGACTTTTCTCTGTTCTACCCAACGTTATCTGTAGAAATTTTATCTTTGAAACTTGTGTTTTGATAGAAATTGTGTGAAGCTGGCCCGTGGATATGAGGCCAGTTGGAGCAGGCCTGGTGGAAACTGGACAAGACAGAGGAAAAGACAAATGGGCAGCAAGAACACATAGAAATTTCCATGGACACACAAACTCAAAGTTTCATCTGTATTTCATGAACAGTTTAATACTTTCTTGTTGTGGTTAAATGTGCAATGTCTCTTACCCCATCTTGAGAGAGTTGATGAACATTTTGCTGCTTTTTGGGATTAGCTGGCATGGATCATTGCTATAGTGATAAAAGTAACATTAAATAGTTGTCTTGCCCTTCTTTTTGGCTAATGCTTCTAGACCTTTGGTAGGTTTCTTTATAAAGAAATGATACTTTGAACTTTCCCCAGTGCTGGTTGTAGAGTTTGTATGGAATTGGTAGGAATTTCCTTCTACTCCATTGGTAATGTGCAAAATATTTCTATACAGGTAGAAGAAGGATGGTGGAGTGGAATACTCAATGGCAAGGCAGGAATGTTTCCTTCGAACTTTGTGAAAGAATTGGAATCAACGGATGATGGAGAAACACAGGATGCTCTGGATGACACAGGTAGTGAGTGTTCTGTTTGTTGCAAACTCTTAGCAAAGTAATTTTTAATTTCTGGTATAATTTGGAGTATTATGGTTAAAGTACAACAAAGTTGTAGAGAATTCAATCTTCCTAAGAGTGGTGTTGCTATTTCTTTCTAGAAAGTGTTGATGCTGAATATGAAGATACCTGCCTGCTCCCACTTCACTCATCATAAAATTGTTGTCAAGGTCTTAATCTTGCAAATGTGTCTTCTACACTTTATCACTAGAAATTTTATCATATTCAAAGTTTATATTATTTAGAATTGGATATAAAATTATTCTTTTGTTTAGTAACTTTTTTCAGTCTTATTCTCACATACATGAGCTCTCTAAAACAGAAAATGAAGGTGTTTAACTAAGTCATTTGAGAATCAAAGCAGTGTGGAGAGCCTCAACTTAATATTAGTACAAGGAAGGAGACCCTGGTTCTTAGGCCTTAGATTGTTTTTAAGGCAGAATTTACATTTTAGCCTTTTCTGGCTATGACTGTATAGCTGGGGCAGAAGCAGATGCCCTGTGGCTGAACAGTGGCTGAGTGGTGCCAGGCAGGTCTGTGTGTTACAGGCAATTACACTGTTCCCTTGGAAATGCACTTTAGAAACATTTCAGTCTATGGAGATAAGTTTGAAGAGGACTTGTGATACTAAAACAGGAATGGGTTTTGGGAACATCATAGCAGGAATTAATTGATTTTTAAAAGACAGTGGTGTAATGTTCAAGGAGAACAGTTTGGTTTGTTTTGTTTTTTACCTCATGCTAATGTGCACCCTCATTTATGTGACATCCATTACTGGTTGCTTCAAACAAGGCTTGCTCAGACATAGGAAAAGCCTGGCTTGGAATTTTTTTTTTGAAATTGTGGAAATCGCAATAGCATAAAACAAGAGTTTGACTTGAGCAGTCCCAAATAGCTCAGTGGCTGTTTCCTTGGAGGTCAGGTTCTCTTGAGTTTAGTGAGGTCTGGTACAGTGAATTTCCAAATGGGTATGTATTGGTCTTAATTCCTGAATACTGAGATCAGTGACACTGCACAGTAATTTGAAGTGATTGTATTTTCTGTCAGTACCTAACAAGTTGGTGTGTTCAGCCCCTCATCCCCCAGGGATTATATTTAATGCTGAGTACTTTCACACTCAGAGTCCGGAGTATTTTTTGGTTCCCTCCTCACTCTTGGGAAACAGTAACTTCCTCTTTCACTCACATGTGCTCCTTCAAAGGTGCAGCCTGGACTTTGCCCACCAACAGGATGTCTAGCTATCCTATGAGATATCTCAGGGGGATATAACTAAATAAAAAGCATCTGGGTAGACAAAAGATGAGCAACTGAAGTCAAGAGCAACTTAGCTTCATGGTACCATCAAAATATCTTAAATTTATAGTAGGAGGAAGAGGCTTTAATCTTTTTTGTGGTTCACAGGCCTGCATGGGCTGAAAAGAACTTGACCCAAAGGCTAAAAGATGTGGAGGTCATTTTGACTTTGTTTTATAGAAGCTCTCTGTTTTCACATGACTGTTTCCTGGAATTTTGTATGCAAAAATTGCTTCCCTATGTATATTAATTTGTGGCTTTAATAGATCTCACCATAATTTAAAAACTTAAAAAAGTTGCAAAGCTCTTAGCAACAAAATTAAGTTATTCTCTGAAATACATTTCTAGGGGATGGGTAAATGCTGTCCCTTAAAACTGAAAGATTAAAAGAATTGTAAATAGTTCAATTATCCAGCAGTGATTAATTTCCAACAACTATATTTGGTCTGAATGCTTGGAGCATTTTGAGCAATAGGAAAATGTCACTTTGGTTCCTTGAGAGGCCACTGAAATACACTGTTTTCCTATGGCAGTTGAAACATATTTGGATTCATTATGGACCTTTATTGATTATTGCTTTCTGTGGCTGTAGCTGTTCAAATGAGAAGCTTTTAAATATTGGACTAAAGTGCCATTTTCAGGGAGTGCATAAACAGCATTTCATAAAACTAATGGAAAACACTGACGTTAGCAGGCTGTGGAGCCTGAGTGCTAATTGAAATAGCAAGAATATTAGTGAGCTGCTGACTTAGTTCCAAAGCAATCAGGGCAAAACTGGTGTGATTTAAGTTGGTCTTACTTTAATATAAAATGAGAACAAATCTGAGGCGTTACAGCTACAGTGCTGTTCCTAGAAAAGCTCTTTGTCAGGAGCAGTGCACAAACCTGTGCTGCTTCCACTTTTTCCCAGAAAGGCAAATAAATAATTTTGGCTTTTAAAATAACTTTCCCTTTCTTATTTTATTTTCAGAGCCTGTTTTCAATAGTCCTACCTCACCTGTGACCTCTCCAGGAAATGGGAGTGAACCTGCATTGGGACCAGCACAGCCAAAGAAAGTCCGAGGTGTTGGGTTTGGAGATATCTTTAAGGAAGGCTCAGTGAAACTTAAAACGAGATTATCCAGTAATGAATCAGACGATAAAAGATCAGAAGAGAAAAAGCAAGATAAGGTTTGTAGTGGTACATATTCTTCTTTTGGGGTTTCGTGTAAAAATAATTTAGGAGATGTGGAATCTGACCATTATCCTCTCACAGGGTTCTTGCCTATAAAACAAAACAAATCTCAAATTTGTTTCACAGTAAGTTGTATTTAACATTGATTTCAAAAGATCTATTCAAATGTCTTGGTATTTAAACCATTAGAGACTCAAAATCAAGCTTGATACATAAATTTTCGTTTCAGAGCTATGTGGTGAAAGTCACCGTGACATCTTGAATGCATCTGCAGTGTGAGGTCTCTTGTAGTTCATCTTGTAGCAGACTTTATATATAGTCTGGGAGAAGATTAACCCTACCTATGCAAGTTAAACTTGTCTTTTAAAACAAGGACTATATTGGCGTTTCTTTGTGTTTTGGCAATTTGGGGTTTTTTTTACCAAGCTTTGGCAGATGTTGAGATTGCTGTTCTAGGTGTCAAATGCCATTACCTTCAGTGAGTGCTGCCAAGCTTCTGCTTTCAAAAATTACTGGTTGTGTAAGTCTGAAAAATGCAATTCTAGGATTTTGCATTTTCTTTCCCCCATTTTCTTATGAGTGAGTGGGAAAAGGAGCACTTTTATTCTTTGTTGTTTGAATTTTGTTTTGATCTGAACTTGAGAGCACTCTTACCCCTTGTAAGCACAGCAACAATGCTCAGTCCTTTAACTTGAACTTGTTATTCCAATTTAATAATTGAATTGTTAAATCCAATATGGATTTTCAGCTTTTGATAAATTAAAGGCAGCTGAGATAGTCCAGAGTTTCAGTTTTGACTCAGGTGATGAAGACAGCTTTTAAAGCCTTTGTCCATTTCAATTTTTGTTTGTGAGTTGTGGTCATTAATGCTGTTTTGGTGAGTGATTTCTCTTCCTCTGCCATGGTAATAATTGTAATGGTGTAGGGAAAAAAGTGAGGTGAGTCTCTGGGAGGAGGGACAGTCAGAGGCTTCCATGAATGTGTTCTCCCTCAATAGCAGTGCTCAGAGCAATGGCATGGTTGTGCAGTGTTTCTTTCTGGTCTGGTCAGAGCATCAGATGATTTAGAAGAGTTGCAAGTGTGTTGCCTTCTGTTTAAAGCTTGGGGAATGTTGCCTCCTAAAGAAGGTGTTGTTTAGAAAAGAAGGTCCATGGCAGACCTTGCTGCAACTTTTCAATATATAGATGGATATATAGAGAAGGAGAGACTTACCGAGATGTGTACTGAGGACAAGGGGCAATGGCTTAAACTGAAAGAGGAGAGACTTAGGAAGAAAAGAGGGGAGATGAGGAAGATGCTCTTCTTGGTGAGGGAGATGGGATGCTGGAACAGGTTGCCCACACAAGTTATGGTTACATCTTTGGAATTGTTCAAGGCCAGACTGGCTGGGGCTTTGAGCAGTCTGCGTCTGTGGGAGGTGTCTGTGCTCACCGCAGGGAGTTGGACTTGGGTGGTCTCTTGAAGGTCTCTTCCAGCTCAAACCTTTCTGTGAAGTCACATGGATTCTCCTCATTCCTCTCTTTGTCCCTTGATGTGGCAGTCTGTGATCACTACATCTTCATGTGAATGCTGTTAGAGTAGGTTTTCAGGACCTAGCCTACAGTTTGCTTTCTTGCAATGAGGTTGATCATTCAGAAGGGTGCTTCCCTACTGTCTGCCTGGTCACTTGGGAATATAAAGAGCCTATCCAAACTTGTGCAATTAATATGAAGTCTTCTCAGACCTTTTGAATTGTTCTATTTGTTCTATTTTGTGTATAAGCAATAAAATATGCTAGTGCTGTTCAGTTTTGGTTGGCCTGTCTGGGAAGGTCTTGTAGGTCATTTCTCATAAAGAGAGGAAATGAAGTGAGAAAACAGTTTTGCATAGCTTAATATCAGAGAAATAAACAATTTAGTTTAGCACTTAATATTTCACTTCCACTTGTTGCCAAAGTCATCCCAAAGGTGGACAGACTTAGAGCAGTATGGAGAGCCCAACGGAGATAATTCTCATGAAGCTCTTGTGAAAATAGATGGCTTCCTTGGATTTGTGCTTAACTTGCTTTGGGGTTAGCTGATGAAATGCTGGGAGAGCACT